TACAACCACTGGCACCACTTTTGTCCTTGATTTCCAGATCCTTTGAATCTCTCTTGCCAGGTCTTGGTACTTTTCACACTTTTCAGTTTCTTTCTGCAGAATATTACTATCTCCGGGAACAGCTATGTCCTCAATTATTATTATTATTATTATTATTATTATTATTATTATTATTATTATTATTATTATTATTATTATTATTATTATTATTATTATTTTCTCCATTGCTCAAGCCATTATAGCAGTAAGTAAGAAAACTATATAACAGTTTCAAATCTATTTTGTGAATGTTTTCTTTTGTCTGTTATCTAGCTTTACTTTCTTAGACTGTTGTCCTCCCTCTGTTGTCTTTTTTATTGTATCGTTATTATTACTTTTGTTTTTTCAATGAACTTGGGAGCACATACTTGTCGTTACTACTTGATGAAAACAAGTCAAGCATCCTAAATAGCAATTTTCTGTTGCCGAGTTCATTTTACTATTTTTCACCTAAACAACTAATGCGGTTATTATTTAGGCGTCGCCCAAATAGACTAATCAAGTTCGCTTACGTGCGAACGTAAACAACTGTTTAAAACAACCAAGCGACGCGAATGTCTGCCGCGCGATGTGTCACGACCCAGCATTTATGCGCGTTACAATACGTCCCACAGCTAACGCACGGCAAACAAGTCGGCAATAGAAAACAAACGCATTGAAAAGGCAAAGTACACCGAGTGAAAGAAGCTATTAAATAATTTAAACTTTCTCTTTTGAAAATTATTGTCCTCGCAGCACATGGCGTGAATGTTTTTATCCCGGACCATAGGTACCGGTCATTGCCCTTTTTTATTGTACCGACTATTCAGTGCCGGTAATGCCTTATACCAAGAGTGTGATAATGTTTTTGCCCTCAGTTTTTGAGAGCCAATAAAGATGTCACGCAAACTTCTGTGATCGTTCATGAGACAAATAAGGGTAACATTGAATGAAGTATAATTTCATTGCAGATCTCGGGAAAAGAGGTGATTTCTTAAATCTTATTGCGCAAATGATCTTGTAAACAAGTTGCATTCTCTCACGTTCGAACCCAAAAAAAGGCAGAGTTCAAAATCTGCACGTGCAAACCGCGTTCGTGAAGGGGATTTTTAGACCCTCGGGTTAATTAGATTAAGTCGTTTTCTCTCATACACGAACCACGAAAGGGGCAGATTCCAAAGCTTTCACGTGCAAACTGCGTGACAGTAAAACTCACAGTGAGGGCCTGATCACATGAGCCGGGCTGGCTAGCTCTTGCCGAGGTGACTTTTATCCCGGTACTACATGCAAAGGCTAGCCCGGAACCGCCATTTTTATGTAGAGGTTGGAAGCAATGCGCATGAGCATTGTGTTACCCGCTGGCCTGTTTCTCGCTTGGTTTATTGGCCAGGCAGTTCGGCAAACGTGATTACTTGGAAAATATCCTCCCTGGATCCCGGCATCACAATACTGGGATCCCAGCTAACCGGGCTGGCTCGGTGGTCATGTAATCGCAAAGTTGATTTTTGTTGTGTTTAACTAAGATGCCTAGATCTCTGCAAAGCGAGCCAGCCCAGGCTCATGTGATCAGGCCCTTAGTTCTATAGCCAGATTTTATACCCTCCCCCTTGAGCTTACCGATTTTTCAAAGCCCCTGTACACACACACACAAAGTTTTAGCCCCACCCCCTAAACATCTTCACACCCGCTTCTCTATATTAAATGAACTTTCCCTTATCCACGTTCTCCCCATACGAATATTATCAAAAATCGAACCGAAAAACAATGCTAAACAGAAAGCAATGTTTAAAATAAGTTCAAGTATGTTTTCGACTATTGATAAGATCTTTCACAACCACTTCATTTCAACAGACCTCAACTACGCTATCCCTTCATAACCAAATTGTACTCACCTTTTATGTTTGCCGCCTTTCGTAACCAGTCTGCTCTACTAACTATGGCGAAATCTAAACAATCTTCTTTGCAACAACTGTATTAAATAATAACCTACGTATTGCACAAACCCGAAGATTCGGTGTAAGATTTTAGCAATAGATTAGCCTGTGTTGCAGCCGGCCCACGCAGTCGTCTAAACCATTTTAAATACAGAAGGTTTTCGAAGGTTTAAAGCGTCTGCGACGTAGGCAACAATGGATATGAGCACTCAAGAGGCTGGGACAATTCGAGACAGTTATATGCAAACCCGAGACGAAGTCGAGGGTTTTCATAATTGTCGAGAATTCTCCCAACCCTTCGAGTGTTTATATCAGGCTATGCAAATACAGGAAAAAAGTTTTCTATTGGTTTTATAAATTAACTTTCGCGAGACAAAAACGCAAAACTCTTTGTTATGGCGCTGATTAAAAGAGAAATTCTCACCAGTCGTGAAGTCGTGTACACGAAGTCTTGCTCGCGTAATCAGTTCTTGTTTTGCAAGAAAGAGGCTTTCCAAATTACAGATTTGTCTCACTTGAAATGTCAGCTTAAGCGAAAAAAAAATTGACAGAGCATGTTTTGTAAAGATTTTCCAAGTTTCAACCGACAAGGGAATAGGTAAATAAAGTAAACTTGTTGAGATTTCAACTCAAGAACATTTTCAGATTTGTGCTTTCCTGATTAGCACACGCGAAAAGCAAAACATCTTGACGTCCCAAACATGTTTACATACTCCCATGCAAACACGCCTCTCGGCCAATCAGAGCGCGCGTACTATCTTACTTATTTTATAAAAGTGACTAATAAGACGAGCTTGTAAGAGCCACTCTAGGTTTGAATAATTAGCCTCACCCCTAACCCCCCCCCCCC